TCCTTGTCAGTTGCTTCCAACTCAGGATATTCTGTGATTCTTAAAATTACATTTTTAGTCTCCAGCTTCTGCAGCAAAGGGGTGGAGTGTGAAGAGAAAAAGTGTCATTACTGCCAAACCAGCTGCAGCTGAGCGAAGCCGTGTATGAAAGTAAATCATCAATATTTCAGATCACCACTTTGATAAACAAATTTCAGAAAGTGAGAATGAAAACCTGAGGAAACAATGCAGAAGAGTGAGTCTGTGTGTGTTAATGTCCCTTGAGCCCCTAGCAGGCAGGAGAAAAGGTTGTTAGAATTCTAATTTGAATTCCGATTCCTTTTGGTTTTGTAGTCCATGCCAATTCTGTGTATATTGTTGCTGGAAAGTGAGTAGAGGATGGTTAAGACTCCCTTACTTTTATGCTTGGCTAATTTTATGGCCCTCCCATATTTTGTAGCTGTAAATGTTGCAGACTTTATTACATTTAAACTGGTTTTAATATAGTAGGTCATAAAAATTAAGAAATGAGTGTAGTGTCCACTGCAGTGATGCATTTAGCTCAGGGAGGATGCTTGCAAGTTACTGAAAGGCTTAAACTGCATCTCCAGGATCATCTGCTTTGTGAAGCCAGTGCAGAATTGAAAAGCCCCAACCTGTCACAGCTGAGAATGAATTTCATTGTTAAAAATTTCCTCCTTTTCCTTTCATCTGAGCAGCTGGTTTATGCTTTGAGGCATCGATCCAAACGTGAGGAGAGGAGGGAGGCTGTTTCTTTCTTTTTCATAAAAGGTTCAGCAAGTTCTGTACACTGTATAGCTGTACATATACATATATTTAATATATGTGGGTACAGTATGGTGTAGCTGGGAAATTTCCTAGCTGACTGCTGAGGAGCAGCTCTAGTTTGTCTGTTAATTGCAATTATTCTACCTGCAACCCATAAGTCTTTATGATTTCATACATCTGCTTCCAGGAGGTTAATTACTTCTGCTGCATTAAAAGCTAAAATAGCGTGGGAAGGTAGGGAGTTACTGGGGGATGGTTCCATGGATGTGTTTGACATTTCCTAAATGTTGAGCATTTGGCTTTGAAACTTCCTTCAGAGAGTGGCAGGGCTGGTGTCTGATCTCCACATGGGTCACAGCTTCATTGAATACCTTTTGACATTAAAACTGTTTGAGAACTGATGCCTATGGTTTTGTCTGTTCTGATTTCATCATGGCTTAACAGTTGGTAAATGTTCCTGTAAAATGTTTATGATGGTTTCTCCAAGTGACAGCTTCAGTTCCCAATGCTGAACTTGCATCTCAGCAGCTGCTTTACACCAACCTTCACACTCAGCCCAGCCTGGGAGCCACAGAGGAGCCACAGGCTGAGCACACTTTCTTGGATCCTTTATACCATATAACATCAGGGACAATTTGTTTTGCTGCTTCCATTTAGAAGAACCAAACAAAAAGCCCCTTAATCCATCAGAATTATTAGACCTGTTTGTCTAAGATGTCACAAAAGCAGAATGGGTTGGAACACAATGTCCATCTGAGGCACAGTTGGCACATTGGAGTCTTCTGCCCACTAACCTGAAACCTCAGTGTAAACTTGAGCCACTTTACTGGCTGGCAGTAAAATGGCTGTGATAAATCAGTCTGCTTTTTGTTTGTGCAAATTATCTAATTGTCAGAGAACTTGGACACAGAACCACATTAAATAAATTTATTTTAATAATTCCTTTATAGCATCTGTTATAAATGAACGTTTATTCAGCCAAATTAAAAAAAAACACAACAGTTTTATTTGCGGTCAAATTCCATCTAGCCAACCACAGGAAAAAAAAAAATAAGGAAAGGAGAAAAGAAAAAAAAACAGTGCCGAGCCCGGGGTCAGCCCTGGGTGTGCGACAAGAAGTCAGCCTCAGGAGAGGTTTTCCTCTATGCCCACACACCTCCATCCTGGCACAAGCAAGTTTTATAGGGATAATTCCGCCTGAGGCCAAGATTTTTGTAATCAGTCCTTTCTTCTATTCAGAGTCCATGTGTTAATAATTCAGTGTCTGGAGTTTGTTGAATCCACATGGATCTGTCTGGGGATTCCAGAGATATCCATCTCGGGTCGTTCACGCGATGATCAGCGCCATGGCCCATCGTCTGGCGTCTGGCTAGCTGTATCTTCTCACTTGTAAATGAGCTTCTTAACATACACCTGGCCTTGGAGGGGAGGAGAAGGGGGGGAACGGAAGGGGGGGGGGGGGAGGCTAGTACAAACAAGTATTTAACAATATATATTTCATATAAGGAAAGGCGCAAATTATGTCTATTACCCATAACAATCTCCCACCTTCTATATTAACCCATTAATTTGCGCCCTAATTTCTGCCTCTACTGAATCTCAAGATTTCTTTATTTTTATTCGCTTTCATTTATTACATTTGGAATTTCCTGGTAAACTGTATAGTTTTGTTCTTTATTTTTTATTCGTCTTTCAAATTTTGCTAGGGCCTCAGCTGCTCTGCTATGAGGAATTTCTTCTCCTAGTGTCATTATTTTTGGTACCTGGTTTGTTTTTCCTAGGGCAGCTTCTGGGTCTGTGGGTAATGCTGTTATTTGCATTCCCTGCACTACTGAATGGATGAGTCTTATAAAGCAGGGGATGAGGCAAGGTAGGAATATGACTCCTGCTACTGAACATAAAATGAAGAAAATTACTTTCTTCCACCAAGCCCCATCAAACAAATGGTCCCACCACGATGCTTGGAGAAGCGAATTCCACTTTTGTACTGGAACATGAGCTACCCTTTTAATTTCTGTGGCCAGATCTCTAATGGTTTCTCCATAATCATTTATTTCTACACAGCATTGAGATTCATTAAATTTTCCGCACACACCTCCTTCTCCAGCTAGTAAGTAATCAAGGGCTATCCTGTTTTGGTACACAAAAGCCCTCATTTGAGAGTGTTGTTGGGATAATAATTCAAGAGCATCCGAAGTGTGATTGGATACAATCTCCACCACAGCTTGCAATCTTATTAAACGGTTTAGTAAATAGATGGGGGTCCGGTATCTCCACGACCCATCCTGAGCCCATGTGGCAGGGCCATAATATTCAATGATCCTTTCAGCAGGCCATTCATCCTCTCCCCAAGTTTGTTCCCCACCGATGAGAGGGAATTTTTCTTTTAAGCTCCTCTTCTCTCGGTTCAGGGATTCATACAAGGGGGCCCCCAGTGAACTACTTTCTGACCTGGGTAGGGTGAAGAAAACAGGTCTGATTAGTCCTACCGTGCAGGATCCTTTCCAGCGTGGGGGTAATTCGCTGTAAGCTTTTTTCCCGCAGATCCAGTGTAATCCATTAGGTGCTTTCCACCTGGTTGTTATGCTCTCAGGCTTGTCCCAATATTTACTTAGCTGGCTAATTGACTGATAAGGGTTAGTTCCGGGGCTTTTGTACCAGCAAAGCCCAATTCGGTCGCTCCATTCACAGTTGTTCTTTTTCTCTCGGCTCCAGTACCCAGGAGGGCTTTCAGGCTGCCAGACTTTGATGTGGCTGGTGGAATTCATGGATAGAGTGGAAATGCAAGGGGTATATCCTACAATTTCTGAATATAACCCTCCCTCCCTGCTAAGGCAGAATGTTCCAATTACCCGTTGATCTAGTACCCACCCCTCTGGTCTTTGAATTATTTTGGGGGTCTCACCAGCTTCCCATTTTAGTAGTTGCTCAGGGGTCAATCCCTCCCCTCTCCAAGGCCATTTTTCTGCGGATTTCAGCCCCCCACAGACCCAGCAATTAGACAACTTCAATTCTGTGGCAATTTCCTGCATCAGATCTACAAAAAGGTTTTGATCAGAGGCAGGCAATCCCCACTTTGCATATTGTTTTTCCAATTGGTCATATTGTTCGCTTAGGGATTTCAGCTTTTCTTGTTCTAGTCTCTTTTTTCTTATTTCAGCTTCCTGTCTTTTTACCTCTTGCATTACCTGTTTCATCTTACTTTCCGGATCCATCCCTTCTTTGTCCTTGGTAAAACAGAACATTTTATCATACTGTAGACAAACCCTGTCGTCCTGGTCCCCTAAGAGGTCTAGGATGACTGGCTCAGTCTCTAGAGGTACCCTGTTTTCATATTTTAGGTTATTTCCCACCCAGTAGGTTTTTCCTCCCATTACACATATACTAATTTTATTCGGATCATAACATACTGGTTTAGCTTGGAAATAAGCAACAAAGACAGATTCCTGCTTTCCCCCAACCCATACAGTGCGATTACATTTGTTACAAACTGGAATTGAAACTTCTCCTGTGCTCCTTCGACGTAGTTTATGAGCTGACTGACCGTTTTCAAGGTATGTTTTCGATTTTTCTTTGAATTTGTACACCCCCTGTTGAGTGTTAATATCAGGACAACGTTTATTAGGCTTACCCCTGCTGCAATTCCATGAGGTGGGAGGTGATTCCTCTGGGTATCTGCCACCAGGTTCTCCCTTCCCAGGATTGGAGAGGTTACTGAGGCATGAGACTAAGCTCAGGCTCGCCCAGACTAATCCCACTGCTAGGATCCCTCTGCCTTTTCTAGCGCTCACTGGGTTGCTTCCAGCGGCGGGGTATATGGTCTTCTTGGCAGCAGGGGTCTTTGTCTGTGGTTTCATACTCAGGCCGAGCTGCATACTTTGTTTAAAATGCCTCACTGGTGTGGTCTCGACTGCGAGGTAGGTTGCTTGATTTATGACACTCAACAATAACAATTTTAGCTTTTTGTTTGTAACTTTCCCTTTAAAGCCTAGATCATTGGATCTAATTAGAATAATCCTAGCCTTGTGGCTATTTACCAGAAAACGGCCAGTCAGGTCTTCCTCCTGCTCAAAACACTTCCCAAACAACTCACTTGGTATGAACAGTTTAACCTTATAACAGTATCTGCAAGGGAAATGTAGGAGAGGATAATAGTTACAATCCGGCATAGAACGCTTGATAGATGTGATCAGTTATTTACTCGACCGCTGTAGGGTTATTTTCAAATTTCCGGGGGGGGAGGTGATTTTCCACTCTGGTGATTGGGGATCGACTTTTTTTACCCTTGACGCGTGTGTCCACCCCTTTTCTGCAGTTCGTATCGCGGTATCTGTAGTTAAAAGAACAAGAAAAGGTCCCTCCCATTGAGATGTTAATGGGGCCTCCCGCCAGGTTTTCACAAGCACCCTGTCTCCAGGTTGTATTTTATGTATTGAGAAGCCAAGAGGGCTGTTTTGCATAATTACCCCCTGCTTTCGCAATTCTTCGAGATTTTTATTTAATTCTATTAGATATGGTTGTATTTGTTTGTCCTCTAATCTCGGATGCCCTACAGGCATACCATGGGTATAAGGCATCCCATATAACATTTCAAAAGGTGAAAGTTCCGTCTCGGAATGAGGCATAGTTCTTATGTTTAATAAGGCTAACGGGAGGCATTTTATCCATGACATTTTTGTTTCTAACATCAATTTTGCTAATTGGGCTTTCAATGTTTGATTCATTCTCTCAACTTGTCCTGAACTTTGAGGGTGCCACGGGGTGTGGTATTCCCATCGAATGCCCAAAGCATCTGCTAATAGCTTGATGATCTTTGATGTGAAGTGGGTGCCCTGGTCTGAATCGATGTAGCTTACTAACCCATAGCGTGGTATAATTTCTTCTAATAAGATTTTTGATACTGTTTGGGCTGTAGCCCTGGAGCTTGGGAAAGCTTCTACCCAGTGGGTTAGCTTGTCCACCATGACTAATAAGAATTTGTGTCTCCCGACCTTGGGTAGTTCAGTGAAATCTATCTGGATCCTTTCAAAAGGCCGGTAAGCTGCTGGACGACAACTCATTAACCTTTTGGAGTTTGCACGATTTATTTTTTTGCAAGTTATGCACCCTTGCACCTCTTGTTTAGCTAATTCATATATGCCTTTGCAGCCGAAGAATCTCAGGAATTGCTCTGCCAGAGCCCGGGCCCCCCAGTGTGTTTGTTGGTGTAATCTTTTTAAAATCTTCCTGGTGTATTCCTTTGATAACAATTCTCTCCCATCTGGTAACTTCCACTTACCTCCTTCTAACTGTCCCCCGATCTTCCGATAAGCCTCGATCTCTGTTTCAGAGGGGTGGGGGGGGAATTCCTGAGCGTCCCCTTTTTCAATCTCTGGGGCACTTACCTTTAGCAAAGCAGCGCTTTTTGCCTCTTTGTCTGCTAAATTGTTCCCCCGAGCCCTGAATTGCATCCCGGTTTGGTGTCCTTTTACATGGACTATAGCAATAGCTTCTGGCCCTCTAATGGCTTTTAGGATTTGTTTAATTAATTCTTCATGAATCAATCCTTTCCCTCGTGTGTTTAGCAGGCCTCTTTCTTCTCAGATTTTCCCAAAGGTGTGCACCACCCCAAACGCATATTTGGAATCAGTGAAAATTGTCCCCTTTTTCCCTTCAAGACCCAGCAAAGCCCTGTATACTGCATACAGTTCACATGCTTGAGCTGACTACCCTGCACTCAGGGGTCTAGATTCTATTACTGTTCCCGTTCTTCCATCTATGACTGCATATCCCGATTTTCTTTTCCCATCTATTACCCTGGCAGACCCATCTACAAACCATTTTTCTCCTTCCTCGAGTTCTTCTTCTTCCAAATCAGGTCGTATTTTGGTCTGTAATTCTACCATTTCAACACAGTCGTGGGGAGGATGCCCTTGGACTGTCCCAAACAGAAATTGGGCAGGATTTTGTGCTGGGGTAGTCTTTAGCTCCAGGTCCTGGGAATGGATTAAAATAGCTTCATATTTCAGGAGTCTGGCATCTGTCAGCCACTTGTCAGCTTTCTGCTGCAAGATGCTCCTCACATTGTGAGGGGAGTAAATGGTTAATGAAGCTCCGAATGTTACTTTTTTGGCTTCTTCCACTAATATTGCTACTGCCACAATTGCTTGTAAGCAGGTGGGCCATCCCCTGCTGACAGGGTCTAGGAGTTTGGACAGATATCTAACTGGTTTTTTGGCCCCTGCCCAGTCCTGGGTCAGAACTCCGTGGGCAGTGTGGTTGTTCACATCTACAAAGAGCTGAAAGGGCTTTTTTAGGTCAGGGAGACTCAATACTGGAGCTGCCATGAGGGTTTCTTTCAACCCTCTGTAGCTCTCTTCATCTTTATCGGTCCACTTTAGTCTGTCTGTGGTAAGTTTGTCATATAAAAACCTTACCTTTTCACTGTACCCTTCGATCCATTGTCTGCAAAAGCCCAAAAGTCCCAGCAATTGCCTGACTTCTCTTTTTGTCTGGGGAGGGGGCAATGCAATTATCCCTGCCACCCGGTCTGGGTCCAGTCTCTTTTTTCCCTTTGTCAGCCAATGTCCTAAGTATTTCACTTCAGGTTCAGTGAATTGTAATTTAGACTTTGAAACTTTCAACCCTCGTTCTCCCAGGAAGTTTAACAGAGCTATAGTTCCAGTCCTTACTTCGTCCTCTTTAGAGCCAGCTACTAATAAGTCGTCTACATATTGCAATAGTTTGGTTCCCTGGACTGGCACAAACTCGCTAAGCACCTTCTCCAGGGCTTGACCAAAGAGATTTGGTGAGTCTACAAACCCTTGAGGAAGAGAAGTCCATCTTAGTTGTTGTTTTCTATGTGTGTCCGGGTCCTCCCATTGGAAGGCAAAATAATCACGGCTTCCCTCAGCTAGAGGACAAGTCCAGAAGGCATCTTTTAGATCGATTACACTATACCACTTGTCATCTGGGGACACATTATTTAGCAAAGTATATGGATTAGAGACCGTGGGAAACAGGGTTTTTGTCCTTTGATTTACTGCTCTTAAGTCTTGTACTAGCCGATAATTACCATCTGATTTCTGGACTGCCAATATAGGTGTATTATGTCTTGACATGCAGGGCTCTAAAGTGCCTCTTTTTATTAAATCTTCGATTATTGGTTTCAATCCCTTCCTTCCCTCTAGAGGAATGGGATATTGTTTTACCCTTATGGGGTTATCAGGTCTCTCAATTTCAATGTGTATTGGTTCCATGTCTAATTTTCCAGCTTCCCCCGGAATGTGCCAGACCCTGGGATCAATTTTCTTTTCATCCTCAGTAGTTAGGTTGTATAAACTTACCATGAGTTGTGAGTCCTTTGCAATTATACTTATTCCTAATATCACCATTAAGTCCCTTCCCAATAAATTGTATTCTGTTTCTTCTACTAATAAAATATCCCCAACACAGATTTTATTATCTGATTCTATTTCTACATTCTTTAGGACGGGGACTTGAAAGGGCTCTCCTTTAGCCCCAATCACAGTCATGAAATCTTTACCTTTGATACATCCAGGAGGCAGTCTTTGAACTGTGGTTTTTTCTGCTCCAGAATCAACTAAAAAGACTAGTTCCTGTCTTTGGGGTCCAATTTTTAATTTTATCAAGGGCTCTCTTGATGTCCGTGACCCCAGATTATAAAGCCCCTGACACCTCTATTCTTCTTGAAAGACCTTTTCATCCTTTATTCGTTTCTTACAGTCCCTCTTGAGGTGTCCTTTCTTTTTACAGTAAAAACATTCAGGGGCACTTACCTGTTTGTTTTTCTTTTGGGTGTGTGCCGGCTTTCCCGGGGGCCCCCGGGCTGGAGCTGATGACTCAGCCGCCGTTTGTGCTTCCCTTACTGCCGCCACCAACACCCTGGCTTGCGTTTTTTGTTTCTCTTCATCCCTTCTCATATACACCTTTTGTGCCTCCCTCAATAGTTCCTGTAAGCTCTTCTCTTGCCAATTATCTATTTTTTCTAACTTCTTTCGAATGTCTTCCCATGATTTAGCGACGAATTGTGTTTTTAAAAGGACCGTTCCCACAGGAGAGTCAGGGTCAGTGCCAGAATACATTTGAAGACTTTTCCTAAGCCTCTCCAGCCAGTCCGTAGGAGTCTCATCCTTCCCCTGGCATTCTCCCAATGCCTTACTAATATTTTGTCCCCTTGGAACCGCTCCTCGAATACCTTGTATTACCATATTCTTTAGTCTGATCATTTCTTCCCGGTCTGCTTCCACCTGAGCATTCCATGATGGTCTTTGTTCTGGCCACTTTTCTGCCCCGCTCCCACCCTGGGGGTTTCTGAATTCCCAGTCCTTGATGGCAGCCTGCCTTATCATATCTCGCTCTTCAGCATTAAACAAGGATCTTAATATAGCCGAGATATCATCATATGAATATATACTGTTTCCCAAAAATTCGTCCAACCTTTCTGCCACCCCCAATGGATCATCCATCAATTTTCCCATTTCCTTTTTGAAAGCCCGTACATCCCCCGTGTTAATGGGAATATTTACAAACCCAATTATTTCGGGAGCCGTGGGGACTTCCCTTAAGGGGTATAGATTCGGTCTGTCCTTTTCATCATCGCTATCTCCCGTGTATTCTTTCCTTGTTTTTTGCCGAGTTCTACTGGCAGGAGGGGACGTGCTTTCCCCGGTGTGGCATGCGCATGTGTGTGTTTTCCCGGGCTGTGTGGAGAGGGGGGGTGGGGGTTGGGACGGTCCCGGAGCGCCTGCATCAGAGACTTGTGTATTAGGTGGTGGTGCAGACTGAGCCGAGGGCGCTGATGGGGGAACTGCCGGGGCCAGTGCTTGAGTTGGGGGAACCTGGTATGGGGGGGGCAGGTTCTCTAGGGGTTCCCAAGTTTTTCCCGAGCTCACCTGGCTGCCAGAGGTTTTAATAGGGAATAGCCGCGCGCTGGCATATTCCCACAGCCTGGCATAGTCCAATTCCTCATTGTCCCATTCCTCTTCCTCATACAAGTGATCCAAAAGTGCTTGGCAGAGCTTAACCTCGAAGGTACCAAAGGCGGGCCAGTATTGGAATTTTCCAATTTCCATATTTCCCCATACTTCTACACAATAGTGTATCATTTTTTCTTTGGACCTTTTCCGTCTAACAGAACAGTCCTCCCAGTGTTCTAACATCCAGCCCAGGGGACTTTCCCTCGGGATCTCAGGGAATTCGTCCTTTTTCCCCTCCCTTATTTTTGAATGCTTACCTTTTCTTGTTTCTAGGAGTTCACTCCTTCCCGTCTTAGGGTTTTCCCTTCGTGGTCCTCCCCGCACTTTGCTGGTTTTCTGTCCCATATTAAAAAATTCCTTACCGTATTCCAAGTCAGTGTCCACAAGTTGTTCCGAGAAGTCAGTTACCCGCGTGCTAAAATGTGTATTTCAGTCTAATCCCGGACTGAGTTTACCAGGTGTTTAAACCGGTCTTTTCTGACCGAACCTTGTCAACCTAAATAACCACACAGCGAACCGATCTGTGGGTTTTTTGGCTGGAAAATGAGTGAGCTCTCTTTTACCTGTTTTCCTGGGCTCCCCGAGCCCAGAGCCGGTGAGGTTTACCAATTTCTCGAGTCCACGAGAACGTACCTTCCCTCCCCCGACCCGTCCGTGAGTGGATCCCTGTAAACTCCCAGAGTTTCAGGTCGTATGCGTGTTGTGCGTTAAACCCGAGTTCTTTCGCTTCCCCCTTAGCCGACCACCTCCCTCGCGGGCTAGTGGAACTGCGGTTTATTGGGGTCCACACTCGCGCCGTGGCTATGCCACGTCTCACTCAAACACACACCCACCCACGCGCCACCCAACCACGCAGTACTCACGGCTCCTTTTCCCGCGTGGATTCTTCGTGCACGTTGATTTTACGAGTGAAAATTTGCTGCAGCCTCGGAGATTTAGCTCCGAATTCCGAGAGCTCTGGGCCCGTTTATATCCTTTCCTTAATGTGGCTTTTTTGCTGCTTTTGGAATCTGGTTGGTTCCGTGGGGTTCTGCAGTCCTATCCGGCTGCTAAAATCAGCAGGGCGCCGCCCGGATCTAGGAGAGGGAACTCCCAGGATACCCCCAAACCAGATCACGTAAGGGGTCACCAAGTTTGTTATAAATGAACGTTTATTCAGCCAAATTAAAAAAAAACACAACAGTTTTATTTGCGGTCAAATTCCATCTAGCCAACCACAGGAAAAAAAAAAATAAGGAAAGGAGAAAAGAAAAAAAAACAGTGCCGAGCCCGGGGTCAGCCCTGGGTGTGCGACAAGAAGTCAGCCTCAGGAGAGGTTTTCCTCTATGCCCACACACCTCCATCCTGGCACAAGCAAGTTTTATAGGGATAATTCCGCCTGAGGCCAAGATTTTTGTAATCAGTCCTTTCTTCTATTCAGAGTCCATGTGTTAATAATTCAGTGTCTGGAGTTTGTTGAATCCACATGGATCTGTCTGGGGATTCCAGAGATATCCATCTCGGGTCGTTCACGCGATGATCAGCGCCATGGCCCATCGTCTGGCGTCTGGCTAGCTGTATCTTCTCACTTGTAAATGAGCTTCTTAACATACACCTGGCCTTGGAGGGGAGGAGAAGGGGGGGAACGGAAGGGGGGGGGGGGGAGGCTAGTACAAACAAGTATTTAACAATATATATTTCATATAAGGAAAGGCGCAAATTATGTCTATTACCCATAACAGCATCCATTTAATCATTCTGGGAGCCAGCACAGATTCATTTTGGAGTTTTCAAAACAGGTATCTCATCACTCATTCAGCTTTGTCTGCATCCAAACAAATATCTGGATAGCTTATGATTTATTTTTTTTTAAATCTGCATTACTTTCCCACTGTTTCTTGATTTCTACAGCAGGTAAAAAAAAGAAATCAAAAAGAAAATTAGAAAGCTGTGCCTCTGGCCCATCCCTGTGCAAGGTGGGCTCTGCTCAGCACAGAAAAGCATGAATTGGAGAGGAGGCATGTTGGAATAATAATAAGCTGTAACTTGGTTTCTTTATCTAGGAAAAAGCCCATTCTTTATTTACATAACTTATTTTATACAGTTTTCACAGATCTTGTGTGTCACTCTGGCTAGTAGTATTCTTGCTACCTAGTTCATTGATTAAAAACTATTTTGTGTGTGCGTGCTAAGACTCAGGTGTTTACATTTTTCTTTTGTGAATTTTCATGGGGCAGATCTATTGTTTATGCAGGTGCAGACTTACTTTTCTTACCAGAATAGATTCTTGTGGTAACTGACTGTTCCTTCCCAAGGTTGTTTTGCATGGGAACCTACAAGCTACTGCTAACTTAGCTTGAGTAGCAGGGCTTGAACCATATTTTATAAGACCTTTATTTTCTAATATCACTACTTACATGCAACAGAGGCACAAGGCTCTTCATAAGGAATCAATCCAGCATTTGGAATCTTACCTTTTTCTTTTCCTGGCACCCCCAACATTGTCCACTGGAAAGGAGAAATGAGACTTGGAAATTGAGAGACCTCAATTGAGTACCAGGAGTGTGTAAAAGGTATCAAAATAATATCTTTTGCAGCAAGTATTTTGGCAAGATGAGTTAAATGTATTTTACTGCTCCACAGTGGAAATTACAAATTTCACTTGGGCTCTTTCCATCTGTCTTTCAATTGTATTCACAATTTCTTTTTTTCTGTTTTTCATTCCTTTTTGTCTCTCAGTTCTTTCAGCCCTTCATGGGTCCCATGTAACTTAAAGGTCTGCAATACCTTATCCAGTCTCTTTGAAATGAACTCTCTCACATAGAGATTGCCAGCAGGGAGACCATTGGACGTGATGTAGCATTCATTTCTCTGCTGCACTGGGTAATGATTTCCTGGTTTCAGGAGCAAGAAATTAAAATTCTGGTGAGAGGATTTGCCCCCTTCCTCACTCAGCAAGGCTCCTGTGCCAGAGCTCAATCACTTCCTCTGCAGGAGCAGAGGGAATCTGATACTGTGGTCATTCAATCAGAGGGAGAAATGCTTTAATCTCTGCTATTCTGTCTGATAAATGCTTTCTTCTTTGTTCTGAATTCAGTTCTCTGGTGTTCCTACTGTTGCAGGGATTGGTGGAGAAAAGAGATCATCCTGTCCAGTTAAGTGTTCAGTGATGATGCCTTCCTTTATTCCCAGAGGTACTTTGTGATTTAGTAAGAGAAATGCAATTGCAAAAAGGGCAGAAAAAGCACAGGAAAGAAGTGGGACTATCTAGCAAATCCCACCACAGCTTGTAATTTCCCTTAAACAAGGACAGCATGTCTTCTGAGAGAATTTTATTTGCAAAAGCACAGTGGAGATAGAGCAGCTTCTGCTTCAGCATGTGATCTTTGCTCAGGATATCTGGGGTGCTCCATTTTAATTGGGCAGATGAATTTCTGACCTGTGCAGCCACTTCCTTTGTCATGTGTTCCTCTTCACTGCAGCAGCTGCACAGAAATGTGATGGATGGGTATTGACTTTGCTGCTTTCTTTTGCTCCCTTTGCTGTATTGACATGAGTTAATAGGGCAGAAGCGGAAGACGGACTCAGTACAAAGTGGAGAGAGATTTTATGTCAATAGGGTTTGTAAGATAAGAAATACAGCATTAAGGGTGAACACACAGGAGAGTTAATAGCTAACAAACCACTCAATGTGTTGACAGGAGAAAGACACTGACCAGTAGCCATAAACTCTTTTTCAATAAAAACATGTTTTCTTTTTTTGGTGTGATGTGTTATTAGTAGTTAGTTTTCCTCAGTGCTGTCAAATGCTGAAAGATGGGTTGTTGTCTTTTATAATGTTGTTATAATGTTTCATTATGTTGGCTTTACGAGTTTTGGTTTGATTAGTTGATCACACCACTAGAGAAGAGTGTCTCCATTTTTATTAATACTACTACATCCATATGCTCCCTTGATTTGGCTATATTAAAACTGGAAATGAGTGTGTTGAGTGAAATTTAAGCTTGAAGGTGATTGGAAATGGAAGGCAGAACAAGTTCTGACTGAGCAATAATATTTCACCCAGCCTCAAAAGGCTGCAGATCATTTAAGCTTCTTAATAAATGGAGTGTGTATTCTAGAATTTTAAACCAGTTGTTAGTAAGGAGCCCACTGGAAGGATACTCTGGCTGTACAGCCAAATGAAGAGAAAAGATTGTAGATGTTCTTATGTTCAGTGGTTCAAAAAAACTCTGCTGATATGTAGCAGTAGTTTGAAAGGCTGAAGAAACACTTTAATTGGTACCAGGAAACAAGTTGAACATCTTAAAATAAGTTCTGTGCTACCACTGAACAGGACATTGTTGGATCCTTAGAAAGTCACTGAATTACACAAAAGAGACTGCCAGGGGCAAGAAGCAGCCCTGGATAACAAATTGCAGCAGGTATTTGGAAACCAGCTAAATACATGTTCACTGGAAGATGAAAGGAGACTCTTCATATCTCTTATAATTATGAAAGAGATGAGCTGTGCTGCTGGGAAAGTTATTTAGGTGGGTTGACAATTGAAAATTGAGTAGTTTAGTTAAATATTGGAAAGCTAGAAATGAATGAGAGTGCTTAGACCAAGTTAATTATGCATGGCTTTGTGCTGTGGGTATGGGGGAAAATGGCAAGGGCTGTTTACTGGACCAAGTTTTCAGTTCTCCTTCTGTTTGGGAGCTCTTTTTAATGAGAAGGATGTTCAGTAATTTTCATCTGATTAATGTTTGTGGCATTTTAATGTTCTTTTAAAATGGGCATCTGCATGCATTTCTAAAGGAACCCTACTTGGTTTGGCTCATGAAGTTCTGCTTTTGTACTGGACTTGGGTAGAACTAGAAGAAGAAAAAGCATAATTTAGTGTACTGCAGGCCAAAATATTAAACCCATGCTTGAGAAAAATAATGGCATAAGCTGAAGGGTTGCCTAGAAGTAACCTTTAATTTGTGACCTTCTTAGGAGAAAGGAAACAAAGGCAACTTCTTTCTCCACCTGCTTCAAATGCCATTTTTCTTTGGCTTAAAATCCTAATACCTAGACATTCAAAAAATGTATTTCTGCCTGGCTTTCTGGAAAGATGAAATCCATTGGTGAGGGACATAGTTAGAGAGGCAGTAGAAAGCTCCAGCCTGTTGTTCCAGTGAGGAACATCACACTTAACGTGGCAGCAGGAAGATTTGGTAGGCAGATGGAAGCTGTACTGGCTGGAGGTCAGGTCACTTTGGGGCCAGCAGAAATGATGAGTTCAGAACGGAGGATTTGCAGCTTGGGCTGGAGTTTGCATGCACAGTCACATTTCAGATGTGTATTATGAATACTTAGTTCTGGTTTCTTGTCTTTACCAGATGTTACATGACAAGGTGCAGATTGGTTGATAATCACAGTTTGGTCAGGAGAACTGGAAGAAGCTAGTTCTTTAGGAAAAAAGCCCACAAATATTAGTGATTTCTATTGAAATCACGGCCAAACACCTGCTAATCTTCTAAAATATTGAGGAAGAATGTTGTGATCAGGTTTGTTTTCAGGGCTGTTATCAGTTTTTGGGGTGTGAACAAGTTCAGAGTGGGGGGACTTGTGTGAGGTTCTCATTTAACCATTCCATTGACTGGGACCACACAGATATTTGATTTTTAAGTCTCTGCCAAAGAGATGCTGACGTGACATTCTGCTGTGAGGTACCCTGACAGCTGAGCTCTTAATCATGATGGAATTTGAATGGGGAATTTAACTGTGCAAAGCTTTTCTGTCCTTTTGTTAATTAACTGGATTATCCATCTATCAGTGTCTTCCAAGAGAAGACATGGTGCATGTTCATTTGCATGGACAGTCTCTAATCTGGTTTTGGAATATCATGCTGAGATCACTACATCTGTTTCCAGATAATAGGAGATCAAAGTTTTGGTAAAACATAAAATCCCAGAAAGGTTTGGGTTGGAAGGGACCTCAAAGATCATCTTGTTCCAAGCCCCTGCCATGGGCAGGGACACCTTCCTCTAGCCCAGGTTGCTTTGTAGATGACAGGGATTTTAACCTTTCTGTTTAGAATGGATGAGAGAACTTTTTTTGTCCTAGACTTTAGTTGTAATACCCATCCCATTTTTACAAACAGATGCAGAGATGTTGAGATATTTGCATTGAATGGATGGTATTGTTGCAGATATTTCCTAGGGCATCAGACCAGCTTCTTTATTTAAGAACAGAAGAAAAATTTATATTTCTTTATTAACATTTCTTTGTTTAAAATTTAAATTTCTTTAAGAACTGAAGAAAAATTTACTTTTGGAGTCATTTCATTCGGCTTTGAGTTGGGATGTTCATTGGCCCCTTGTCCTTCCTGCTCAG